CATTTAACAAAAACTAACATAATTCTGAAACTGATTTCCCTTTTCTGCTTATAAAGGTAGCCAAACTTCTGGTGTTCTCACTCTAGCAACTTGTATTCCCAGCTTCAGTTTAGAATTCACACACAATGTATCAACATAATGAATCATCACAGACAGCATAGTCCTCATTAAGTTGGTGAAAGTTTCACCTGACTAAGCTAAGGCTTATATTGCTGTACATGCAAATTTTGATAAATACTACAAAAACATACTGAATTTAAATACAAGTGCTCTATTCAAAATGAAGTTTTAATCAAAATAAGGTAATAATGAATGGAACACTCAGATACTATAGCTCTGCATTACTAACCATTTCAAACTCATTTGTTTTACTAAAAGTAATCCTGCAATCTAACATCCTGAAAAGTAAGTTTTCAGTAAAAACTGTGATAAAGGGTTTCTGTTTAATGTACAGGTAGTTGTTTCAAATACATTTAATATCAAAGAATCAGAAAAGTTAAACTGTAGTGCTTTTACCGTAATAATGTATTTTAACATTATTTTTGTAAGTTTTGTTTGGTTTTATGGAATGTTTACTGTTTCAAAATGATTTAGTTGACAGAATTAATTTCTGTAATGTCTAACTTCTGAGGTTATTCAAAACATTTTCCTCTCATAGGCTGTGTCCAGACTCAGGGGGGGTTTCGAAAAAAGAAGCCTTTTTTCGAAAAAACTTCCCCTGCGTCTAGACTGCAGCCGCGTTCTTTCAAAATTAAATCGAAAGAACGCGGCTTTTCTTTCGACGGCGGTAAACCTCATTTCACGAGGAACAACACCTTTTTTTGAAAGTGCTCTTTCGAAAAAAGGCATTCTTGAATGCCAACAGGGCTTTTTAGAAAGAGAGCATCCAGACTCAAAAAGCGGCTTGCTTTTTCGAAAATACTGCTTTCAGTCTAGATGCTCTTTTTCTAAAGAGGCTTTTTCGAGAGATACTTTCGAAAAAGACTCTTTCGAAAGAGGCTTGCAGTCTAGACATAGCCATATAGAAAAAAATGTGTATTTGTGAGATACATATACAATGCATAATAATATGGTGCAATATAAAAAATGTGCTACCGTTACTTCAGGATCACAACATTCTGCAGAAATGGTGAAGTCACAAGAAAGTTATATAGGCCATTCCAAATTAATGTCTAAAACTTATACCATTATTTACTCTCTATATACCATATATAATATTAAGAATGTTTCAGATAATTGTTTTTTATCCCTCCATCTATGAAACCATCTGATCCAAGGTGAATCAAAGTACTTCAAAGATATCCCATTTACTTCAGTAGGCTTTCTATTAAGCCATATGTCTTACTGTAGGGAATATGAAACACCAGTAAATTTTCTATACCTAGAAATGTCATGTTCATAAGCTTTGGACCCATGTGACATTAAAAAATAGTACTTGTTTCAACAGTGATTCTGAGATTATTTTCAAAACTATATTTCTTCCATTTCTAGTCTCTCAAGATCACAAGAAATGTTAGTTATCAACATGTAATGGAACAAACCTCTTTACAGAGCAGAAACTGGCAAGTGTACGGGACCATATCTTGTTCCTTTAGGCACGACCATTCGGAAAGGGTGGGGGAAGAGAAGATAATTTCACATCTGGAAAGAAGAGAATACATGTCTTGGACAAGTTGATTTGTAAAAGGTGTTTCTTTGAAACTTTTCAAGGGATTGAAATGTTAAAATACATCCCAGGTTATGGTAAAAACTTCCTAACTGCCAAGGTGGTTAAGCACTGGAATAAATTGTGTAGAGATACTGTAGGATCTCCATCATTTGAGATGTTTAAGAGCAGGTTAGACAGAGATTATCTAAATGGTGCTTGGTTCTGCCATGAGTGCAGGGAATTGGACTTGATGATCTCTCAAGGTCCCTTCCAGTCCAGTATTCTATGGTTTTATATACTACTAGTGGACAGAGACTTAAAAGTGCGTAAGTTTATTGATCATCAGTTTTGACTTATCAAATAAAGTTGCATTTAATGTTTCAGTTAAACCTGAAATTTAATCTGAATGTAGTGTTTCCCTAAGGGTGTGTCTAGACTACCTAGTTTTGTCGACAAAAGTGGACTTTTGTCAACAAAACTATACCAGCGTCTACACTACCGCTGAGTTCTGTCGACATAACGTCGACAGAACTCAGCAGTTTTGTCGACGCTGGTATACCTCATTTTACGAGGCATAACACCTTCTGTCGACAGAACTCTGTCGACAGAAGGTGTTATTGCCTGTAACGTTGCGTCCAGACTACGGAGTTCTGTCGACAAAGCAACTTGCTTTGTCGACAGAACTCAATGTGTCTGGACGCTCTTTGTCGACGGAAGTTTTGTCGACAGTATCTGTCGACAAAACTTCCGTCGACAAAACGCGGTAGTCTAGACGTACCCTAAAAGATGGAATTTAGGCTCACATTATGTGTATAATTGTATAATGTGTATTGCGCTACTCAAATTGTGTATCTTATATTGACATTATTTCAGAATAGCTTATTTCTAGATTTGGTGCTGTCTACACATTGCCAAAATTTGAAATAAAGTGCCATTTAAAAAAAAAACCCTTAACAGGATTACAGGGATGCAGAATAGCTATTTCAGGATATCCTCTGTGTAGACGTTTTATGCATATTTTATGTATATGTGTATAATTGCATATTATGTACTTATTTTATGTTTACACCAGTTGTGCATGTGTAATTTAAATACACATGCATCTAATTAGACATATTACCATTTATTTTGAGATCATTCAGAATGCCAAGTGTACTGCAAAGAACCTAGAGTTTAAAGATGACCTACAGTGACAGCTTGAAAGCAAACTGAAGGAGCTTCTTTTTATCGATTTAAAACGAGTTTACACGTGAAGTGCCAATCTCCCAATTGGCAATAAAAGGAAAGCAATCAAGAAAACGCTTTGTAGTTTGTGTCTTCGAGTGACCAATTGTTGAATCACTGGTGGTACGGTCTCTCTTCCCCTCTCTCTGTCAGTGTCTGGGGCCGGCCGCAAAGTCTTAAGCTCGTGCTGTGTTCGGGACATATTCTGCGAGGCTGATTCCCATCTCCAGAAATAATATCTAGAAGCTGCTTTTTGGCTTCATCCGCGGCATTCCAGGAGAAAGCCGATTTGCCGCCCTGCACTGCCATCTATTGGCCACCGGGCCTCACTGTTCTTCTCCCGCTCCACCACGTCTGCCGCAGCTTTGCTAACCCGGCAGCTTCCGTGAGCAAGTGCCTGAGCCCCGGCTCCAGGCTGCCTCTTGCAATGGAAAGAGCTTAGGGAGTAGAGTCACCCAGCGCCTAGTGCCCAGAGCCCCAGCGCCGTTCTCTGCACCGGCGCGCCCACACCCCCACCCCCACCTGCCTTTGGCTGCGGGAACAGCGGGGAGAGTGACAAGCCCCCTCGCTGTAAGGAAGGTGGCTAGGGAAAGCTGCTCCCGCGGCCCCACCAGGCTGCCTCTTGCAATGGAAAGAGCTTAGGGAGTAGAGTCACCCAGCGCCTAGTGCCCAGAGCCCCAGCGCCGTTCTCTGCACCGGCGCGCCCACACCCCCACCCCCACCTGCCTTTGGCTGCGGGAACAGCGGGGAGAGTGACAAGCCCCCTCGCTGTAAGGAAGGTGGCTAGGGAAAGCTGCTCCCGCGGCCCCAAC